GTACTGGAAAGTTGTGCCCTCTGGAGTACTTGACCAATGAGGAAGCAGAGGTGGGACCTTGCAGCCAGGATTAGAGATAAATAGTGAAGTCCTGCTTTGGTGCAATGTGTCCTAGTCCCGTAGGACCCCTGTGGTTGCAACAGTGTAATAAACTGGGCTTTTAACTTCATCTCTCCTGAGTCCAAATCAGTTATTTCTCACACTTTCCCAAAACACTCCTCCTTGGCCAACGCTTCCCCTATATGTGTAGTTTTCTATTATAATGTAATCTCCTTGAGAACATGCACTATTTTGCTTGTTTGTATTGTTTTCCTAGCACTTAGTACAGTGCCTGGTACATAGTAAGCATAATAATAATAAAAAATAACAACAGCGATAATGTTGCTGCTGCTGATAAATGCTTCATTTCATTCATTCATTCTACTGTAGTTCTGGCTTTATCAAAAGGAGGCTAGCATGGTATAGTAGAAAGAGTATTGGAGTTAGAGTTAAGAGATCCAGCTTTCAGCTCTGCTGCTCACTACTTAACCTTCGGACGGTCCCTTAACCTCAGTTTCTTCATCTGTAAAAGGAAGGACTTGGACTAGAAGACCTACCTCTAAGGTCCCTTCCAGCTGCAATCTATGATTCTGTCAACCTCTCATTTAGATTATAGCAATAATATCCTAATTAGTCTCCCTGTCCTGCATATTTTCTTCTTCATTTTGTCCTTCATATTGCCATCAATTTTATAGTCATAAAAGAAAGATCTAACCATGTAGGTCCCTGCCTCCCCTCTCCTTCCCAATCTTCAATGATTCCTTGTTGCTTTTAGGATAAAATACCAAGTCTTCAATCTGACATTTAAAGTCCTTCACACGCTTGCTCCCTCTTACTATTCCAGTCTTATTTTATATTGACCTTCCTACACTTTTAATTTCAGTCAAGCTGGCCTAACAACTCTTCGCATGACATTTCATCTCCCAGTACCCAGCACAATGCTTAGCAATGACTAGGTGCTTAAATGCTTGTTGATTGCAGAAGTGTTTGCCCATGTTTAGAATGTGTTCCATTCTCACCTCTCCCCCTTCAACACCTTTGCTTTTCAGTTACGGGGGTTTAATGAACTAGACATTTAGCAATGGAATATTCTCCACCCTAAATTTGAGGCATATTCTTCTACAGATATATATGTGTTGAAAGGGGAGAGTGAGTGCACATAAAGATTGCACATGGAACACACACCTAAGAACTTATGAGACTGGGGAACATGAATAGAGGGACAGCTTATGCTTCTTTTGTTACAGGGCTGCTGATGTTTTTTGATGATAGCACTGTACATCTCTCCACTGGGCCTGCATCTAAGCATTGTATCATATCTCTGTTTCTTCCTCACTGTCTCTTCTGTTTTGTTTCCTCATTTTCTGTTGTTTCCTCACTTATTGTGACATCTTTGTTGCTTCCTGCCCCTAACTCTGTTGCTATTTTCCACTGGCAGTACCACTTTGCTGGTTTCACGGTTGCTTCTGGGCAATGGTGCTTGCTATCAGTTTCTGGGTTGTATTTCTATAAGTGTTCCAGTCATCTATTTCAGCTCCAACATATCAGTGTGTAGTGACTAGAAAGCCTCACTTTGATAAAGTTGGCAGGTCTTTAGTTATATTGCTATGATACCCAAGTGACAAAAGCCAGATAGATTGCCCCCCCTCCCCTAATCTTAGATTAAGTCATTTTCTTTTTAGCCCTTTTTGACTTGGGTTGCGATCACAGTTTTTTGACTCAGATGACTATTTGGCTTAAAGTTAGCAATTTCTAAGATTCTTTCTGGCTTGGCACACATATGAAATTGGGCCAGAACAAAAGGTAAGGAGGAAGCAATTTTCCTCTCCCTCTCCTCCCTGACCCCCACTACCATTGTGTAATCTCTTCTACAGTACCTGTTACTTTTTCTTTATTTGTTCTTCTGGCTGAGATGAATTCCTCTTCTCTGACTTTTGGAGACAGGTATGATTGAATAGTACTTCAGCTGAAAGAAGACACCAACCCTTGATGGTAACCATCAGGTCAACAATAACTGGGCAGCATGAGAAAAATATTAGATGAAGCAAATCCCTTTGCTCTGGTTTTCCTGTACCCTGACAAATGTGGAGAAAAACTACTTGGCAGCAGCAGATTTCGCTATGTATTGTGGAATGGGACAACATACTATCTTGGGTGGTTTAAATTAGTTTTTTAAGTAGAACTTTCCCCTCTTGGATTCATATTTAATTTTCAATATGTCAGGAAAAACTGAAGGTGGTACTAATAAGTGTTGACATTTTACATCAAGCTGTCTTTTTAAAATGTATTTGTAAGGAAGGAAACAATTGTTTGATGAATCTGCTTTTTGGTCATTGCTATTATTCATTCTTTTAAACAATTCCCTTCCTCCCCTCAAGAAAAAAAGAAAATAAACAAGTTAAAAAAACAAACAAACATTGTCATCCAGGCTTCTTGTAAGCTACTAACAAGCATTTCTATGTCAAGAATAGTTCTATTAATTCTGGTAGAATTTGAAAGATAAGTGCTTTTGAATTTGACTACCTGAAAATGTAGCTGTTGTAAGCTGCAATGATAAGTAGGCAAGATAATTCCTATGGGAGTATGACTAGAGACAACACGGTTCAGTGAAAAGAGCATTGGCTCTGGAGTCTAGGGTCAGGTGATGTGGATTCAAAACCCCCTCAGATTATTACCTGTGTGACCTTAGCCAAGTAACTTAACCTTATTGGTCCTCAGTGTACCCATTTGCAAAAAAAAAAAATTTGGTTGGACAAGATGACATATGAAGTCCCTTCCAAGATGTATATCTAGCATCTGGTGATGTAGCCCACTAAAGTGGCCTGTAGTAGGAAGGTTAGGACTGTCTATACCCATCAAGTGTATTTTAAGGTAGTTGGCCAAAAAGGATCACAGATTCTATCTTGACCTTATATGGTGGTTAGTAATTTCAGGGTATAAAAGGGAGAACCTATCCTGGCTAGGTATGTCACTCCCAAATGCAGGCCTATGTCAGACAGTAGTCTATGCTCTACCAGAGCCTTGATTAGCTTCTGTACCTCTGGAGCAGGAGAGAGATACTGGAGAATGCACAAAAGAAGGGCATCCCTCAAGTTACAATCTAGGCCCTACTTCTGCAATTTCCCTCTTGCCACTTGCACCTCTAGACTGATAAGCATAATAAACATGTTTGTGTTAAGCGAGTAGGCTGAGTGAATCCCTTTTCTTTGTCAGGGGGAATCTATAGCCCCAGTAGCATGACCTCTTTCCATTACATCAAACAGAACTGAAATGAGATCTTCTATTTTTCATAGACCTTTGAACTTTTTTAAAAAATTAAATCTGGACTCTTTCTTTGAGATAGATAAAAATGAAAGCCAGGGAAATGTAGTTTTTGCTACAATTAGAGGGAGGGATTTTTTCCCCTTCTTCTGTTTGCTTCTCATAATTTAAACCTGAATGTCATATCAGGTGATGATTATAGCACTGAAAGAGAAATGATATAGCCAACATGAAAAAAAATGTTTCTAGGTTCTAAAACTGAAAATTATCTCACCTATAAATAATCATCTTTTTATGCCATTTTGCTTTGCAATATCCTGCTTTGGGGGGTTAGTCTAGAATTGAGATTATGACATTGCTTAGCGAACACTGGTCCTGAGAAGAAGTCTTTGCCTTTGGTCACTTTTTGGAACCCATAATTTTATTGTTGTGAGGAACTCTTGTGAAACTTTTTCTATTGATATAGATGGACAAATGTTCTGCAACTTCAATTTAGAGTTCTAGGCAGTTGCCTGGGTAGATGAGAAGTTAAATGATTTGCTGAAGGTCACGTAGCCAATATGTGGCAGAAATAGGACTTTAACCAAGGTCTTCTGACTTCAAGGTGAGGCCAACTCTCTATCCATTATGCTATGTTGCCTTGTTGGCCATCTTTTCTTACATGAATACAATACTGGTTAGTAATAGTTTTCTCCAGATTGTCTCCCTATCCATATTCTTCATTTCTCTCTGTAAACCTACTTTTTTTCTTCAGGAAATGTATGAGTCAAACTGTGGGAAATAAAAGGTAGTGTATTGCTCCAAATAATAAAACATCTTTGACAATCAATGTAGCAGGAGAATGATCAAATTCCCTCTACTCTGCATTGGTGTAAAAAGTAGCAGGATTTACCTCAGAAGTAATGCTTCCCTTCACTAGCATTGGAGCACAAATCTAGGTCTGGAAAAGCCCTTAGAGGTGAGAGGTCATCTAGTCCAAACTCTCTTTCTGTCTTTTTAAATGTATTTTTATTTTGTTTTACTTTCCAACAAAATTAACAAGCATTTATTTTCTTTCCTCCTACCTTTCTCCTGCCCTTTAGTAGAAAAAAATGTTAAATCTTCATACAAAATATGGATAGCCAAACAAAGCAAAAGCCAGAATTTGCCATACCAAAAAGTGTGTCTCATTCTGCATCTTAAGTCCATAACCTCTTTGTTGGGAGATAGGTAAGCATCATTCATCATTGCCCCTCTGGAATCCTATGGCTCACAGAGATTAGATTACTTGTCCCATGCCACATAAATATTAAATGACAGAGTTAGGATTTTAACTATGATCTTCTGAATTTGGCAGTAACATCTCACACTTATTCCAATATCCGGGGAAAAGTGCTTTATGCTGCAATTTCTAGAGGCTGTTTTCTATCCCAATCTCAAACTGGGTATATGTTCTGGAGTGAGGATGAATACATATTCAGGTGGGTTACCCTTGGTTTTGGGGCTCTCTTGGGAAGGATAGAAGAAATGGGAGGAATATGATGAAGAGAGACTTGAGAAGGAATAAACTTTAGGTTGCTTTAAAATGAATGTCTCTTTGGAAAGTTTAATTTCCTTAAGACTTAAGACAGTTCAAGATAGGTATTCAGTACATAAAGGGGAAATTTTCCAATTCCTGTCTAAGCTACCTTTATAATAACTCTCATGTTCTTTTATTATAGTTCCAGTCTTGTCCACAGGGCAACCCAACCTGGCGATTGATATGGAAAACAAATGAATTGATTAACTGATGAAGCAAGTCAAGACGTGAAATATGAAAAAATAATTCACACTCAGCATGTTACTAGGGATTGCTGAAAGCCTATGATGTTGTTGAGAGCACACCCTGTGAATTATTAAACAGTACTTCAAACTTTGAATGTTTTTATGTGATTATGAGACTTATTCATGGGGGAAGATAAGGAATTTTTCAAATCACATTTTTATGTGAGTTTATCATTTTTTAACTAGGAGCTATTGTCTACAGAAATTACTGATATATCAGTACAGTTAAAACCATTCATGTAATACTTATTTTCTTGATTACTGGGAAATTTTTTGCTCCGGTCACCAAAGCTCTGTGGACAAATTTGTGTCCACAATGTGTTTCTTCTTAATCAACTAATGTTCAGTTTGATGTCAATCAAGCATTTTTGATATTCTACTAAAAGATAACTGCCAGTTGTAGGAGAAAAGGTAAACTGAGTATGTTTCCATAAGAGTTTGCATAGGATTGTGTTCTAGTGGAAGGGGCACAGAACTAGGAGTCAGGAAAGGCAGGTCTTATTTGTGTGCTGTTCCTAACTCATTGTGAGATTATGAGTAAATACTTCTATGTCTCCATTCCTCATTAATTAAATGGGAATACTAATTGCTCCATTTTCTACCTCAAAGGGTTTTCCTAATGATAAAGGAAAATTATAGATATGATAGGGCTATTTGACTGTGAGATTTATAATACATCCCTCCATATCAATGCATCACGCAGCTAATGTTCCCCCAATTCCAAGAAAGCAGAGATCTCATCAATGTGAGTATTTGATCACAGTTACCATGATGGTATTCTTCTGCATTTAACTACTAGGGAAAATGGCTATGATTGTTCCTTACTTTTTGTTCTAGACATATTCCTATAATTGTCTGTAAATTGGATCACTGTTTTTGGTGCCCTCTCAAATTACTGTAGATTGTGGGAAATCCATAGACCGAAGTAGCACTTACGTGATATATAATAGTACCTCTGAATTTGATAATTCTTATCTGTCTACTGTACAGCTTAGTGTGCTAGATGCTTGTTTAGAACACCTGGGGCAATAGCTGGATGGGAGGCAGATGTGTTGATTGGTGACAGCAGATATACCAGATTTTGGCTAATCACAAATGGAAGCTCTGTATGTTTTATGGCAGGAAAGACTGCTAGAGGATTTGGCTGACTGGAGGTTAAAGAGTTAATGAAAGTGAATTACTCATCTTTAGATCTCCTAAGATCCTGGCATCAGTGTGCAGTGATATTTGTGTAAAATAATGACTGTCATAAGACAATTCCCATCCGTCTTTGCCAATGTTGAAAAAAAAAGTCCAAATGGAGGTCACTGGAGGTTTTTAGTGGTGCTTTATATTTGCAATGCAAAATAGGTTCTTTTGATTTTTTTCCAGTGACAAGTTAATAACTGTTAGAAAGTAATTTCAGCTGTAAAAACTCTCTTAATACATATACAATATAAACCACATGCATCAATTAAAAAGTAGAATCCTGAATAGAAACAAAACACCTGAATAATTACTTAACCCTTGGATGTTCAAAGCTATTTTTCTTTGGTGAAAATATAATGGAAAAGCATTAAATATTTTTAGGAAAATAACTGTGCTAAAGTATAAAAAGACAAAGAACTCACTGGGTGAAGCCTAAAGAATAGCTTGGATAAAAAAGAATAAATGAGTATTATTTCTAATCCATTTAATATTGCATTTGTGTAATTTTATCCTACAATCCTTGACATTAGTACCATCCTTTGTTTTTGTTTTGTTTTGTTTTTGCCAAACATCATCATTAAAAATAATTAGTTGATTTGACCCTCACAGCAACTCTTGTGAGGCAGTCAAGGCAGTGATTATTCTCCCCCATTTTATAGATAAGGAAACTGAGGTTCAGAAAGGTGAAATGACTTTCTGCTAATGTTAGGTCAACCAGGGTGGCTGAGCAGTTGATCTGAGATAGCATGAAGAAAACATGAAGGCAGCAGCTGTTGCCAATGGTCCTAACCACTTTCCATGTCTCATGCTGCTGAAAGACATCAGATAAATAGAGGAATAAGCCAGGATCTCAAGGCTAGTATTCCTAAGCTGGCTGTCATACTAAAATTTTAAAGTTAATTGCCTTGATAAAAGGAGAACAGCCAGACGCCACTTCAGGTAGAAGAATTTGGGTGCCTGGATAGCTTCCTCTCTATTTGTATTTTCCCTATGTTGTACATGTCCTGGGAATGTACCATGGTGCAATGGCTGGTGCTGCAAGATGCTTTAGGTGTTCAAGCACCTATGTTAAAGGCAGGGCAAAGATGATGTTTTTCACAAGGTCAGTGATACCTACATCCTTGCCCACATCTGAACCCTCCGTTTTTGACGATCTTGCACCAGTTTATGGGACCTTTGGAAGCTGTTCGGTGGAAAAGCTGGGACTAGAACCCTTGTGTTCTAATTCATAATCCATTGCTCCTATTATCCAACTACGTTTATCTTCTTAATTTGTAATCACTGCAAATAGAAAGTACATTGTCTCTAAACTGCCCACATGTAAAAATCATTTACCTGACTGCCTTCTGATGGGACATAACTACTGTGATTAAAATAACTGCCAATCACAGTGCTTGGCAATTTCCATGCAAATTTTCCTTAATGATGTTGTTAATCCAATGAAAACCAGATGCTCTAGTGTAAAAGGATGCTCTAGAATTCTGTAAGTTCTTTGCCTGGTTATATATAATTCCTGTTTCCCCCCATCACTATGGCATTGACTGCAGTAGAGATTCTTCCACTCATTCCTCCAGATGTTTACTTTTTCTTTTTCTGCAGGCTGTATTTCATAACTACTTTGTTGGGTTTCTTGAGAATATGGCATTTGGGCCCAAGGCAGCAGAAAAAAAAATGTCCCCTGGGAAGGTGAAGGTGCTTAATCATTCACTGTTTTCTGTCCTCCTGTGACTCCTTTCTCTCCTCTTCATTTTTCCCTGGTAGCTTTTAGGGAAACATAGTCCCATAATTATTTTGGGGAAAATTATAACTTCAAGTGGTGTTTTAGAGATCCCACTGTTTTTTAACTCTTTACTATTCTTTCCCTGAACTTGATATTTCATCTCCCATCTTTGTTCCCATGAGCTGTCCCCAGTGACTGTAATACATTCTTACCACCAGTCAAAGTTATAGGATCATAGATCTAGGTAGTTAGATAGATAGATAGATAGATAGATAGATAGACCACTTAGTAAGTGTTTAGTATGTGCCAGGCATTGTTCTAAGCACTGGGAATACAAGTATATTCGAGCAAGATAGTCTCTGCCCTAGAGAAGCTTATATTCTAATGGGGGAAAGATCACATATGTTGGGGACCTGGAAAGAGAGTTGGATATGGATGAGGCAGTATGGTGTCAAGCAAGTGAAGTGATATGGAAATCTGGGCCTAGAAAGATAAGGCAAATAATGCTCACCTTTCAGCAATTAGGGACACAGGGGCAGTATTTAAGTTACCAGATAGAAGAAGTAGAGATGATGGTTTGAGTGGAGAAGGTATAGTGGGGAGTAGACCAGGAAGTGACATGGAGGCTCGGTAGCAGGCAAGACAAAAGCCCACCTAGCAGATGTGGAGCTGGGAAGACCTTCAAAGGCCGTCTAGACCAACTCCTCATTTTATAGACAAGGAAACTGCAGCCCAGGGAGACCAAGTAACTAGGTCTCATAGATAATGAACATCAAAGGTGGGGCTTTACATCGATTTCTCTAATGCAAGAACATTCTTATAGTTCTCTAATAGTTCAAAAACAGACCTTTTCCCAGAACCGTTTCTGTTCACTCCTTCCTATCATATTGTTAGTTCTTACTCCTTCCTTAAATGCTCTGGTATTCATTTAACTGAGTATATGTTATATACCCCTACAAATGTACAACTTCCCTAAGATCAGAAAGTCATTAATTCAGTCAACAAGCATTTATGAAGTGCCTACTATGTGCCAGGGACTGTACTATGCACTAGGAATACGAAGAAAGACAAAAACAAGGTTTCTACTCCCAAGGAGATCACATTCTTATGGGGGATATAACATGTAAACAACTAGATACATAAGGTATCTTATGGGAGGTAATCTCAGAAGGAAAGTACTATAGTACCTGGGGAGTTGGGGAAGGCTTCCTCTTGAGGTAGGATTTGAATTGAGTCCTAAAAAAGGCCAAGAGATAGAGGTGAAGAGGGAGAGCATTCCAGGTATGGGAGATAGCCAGTGAAAAGGCAGTGAAATGACAAATGGAATATCTCATGTAAGAGAGAGCAAAAAGATAGTAAATAGTATTTGGATTGTAAAGTATGTGGATTGTAGAAAAATGTGAGATTGGGAATTTAGGAAGGGACAAGGTTGTGGATGTCTTTCAAATACCAAACAAAAGTTATATTTAGTACTAGAGGTAATAGAGAGCTACTGGAGTTTATTGAATGAAGTCATAAAAAATTTGGTATAATTCCTGTGCTTTAGGAAGTGTGATTTGATGTTTCATTGGAGGAAGAATGGAGTAGAGGGAGACCTGAAGCAGGAAGACCAGCCAGAAGGCCTCAGAATGAGGCGATGCACCATTAGTGGTGATTGTATAAAAGGAGATAAGGGAATATTATTGGAGGGATGTTGTGAAGGTAGAATCAATGGGACATGGCAACAACTTACATATGTGAAGTGAATGCAAGAGAGAAGTTGAGGATGACACTAAGGTTGTAAGCCTGGGTGGCTACAAGATTGGTGGCACCCAAGACAATAATGGAGAAATTAGGAAGAGGAAAAGGTTTGGGAGGAAAGGAAATGTGTCCTGTTTTAGACACATCAGTTTAAAGATGTCTATGGGGATGTCTATGGGGCATCTAATTAAAGATGTTTAAAAGTCAGTTGGAGATGTGAGACAGAGCTCTGGGGGACACCCGTGATTAGTAGGATGATATGGATGCAGATGTAATGGAGACTGAGAAGAAGTGGTCAGACAAGTAGGAGGAGAACTAGGAAAGAACAAAAACCTAAATGGGAGAGAGTATACAGGAGAAGATGTTAATCAACGGTGTTAAAGATTATACTGAAGTCGAGAAGGATGAG